CAGGATCGGGCAGTGTTTCGTTCTGCTGTGCATGGGGTCGCTATGAGTCGGAAACGACTCGATGGCCCTTAACAACAACAACAACATGATGTAAAGGGTTTTTTTTTTTTTTAGGGTATTTCTACCTATGTGTGAGAAGAAAAGTGTTGCATCAGCTGTAGGAATACATAATTATTGACCACTAAGTGTCCCTGAAGATTCCTGAGCGAACTGAAAAAGTTTAGGAAAGATAGTTTTCCATTTAAAACTCAGAAGGAAGGAATAAAATAACTAAATTAGTGGTTTTCAAACTGTTTTCCTATGGAACGCTTACGTACAGTCCCTCAACCAATATTAAGATGCTCTTCTAAAATTACGTGAGCTCTGGTGACATAGTGCCTAAGGCGTTTGACTGTCTACCAGAAGGCTGGCAGTTCAAACCCACCAGCCACTCCTTAGAAGAAAGAGTGGCCAGTCTACTTCCATAGTGATACTGCCTTGGAAACCCAAGGAGGGGTTGCTATGAGTTGGATTCAACTCAACAGCAGTGAGTTGTTTTTTTTTTTATTATTTATTTATTTAATTATGCCAAGCTTTTATAATTTCAAGAAGAAAATAAGATAACGTATGTACTTCTCTAAATGTTTTTTCTTATAAATCTTCCTAAAATTTTGACAGTTGTTTTTACAGAAACTCTTGTGTTCTGTAATCTAAAATATATTGGATTTGGCAGAAAATGTTTATATTTAATATCAATATTTTAGTGCTCTGGTGGCACAGAGCCTAAGGATTTGACTGTTAATCAGAGGTTGGCAGTTCAAAGCCACCAGCCACTCTCCTTCCATAAAGATGTACTGCCTTAAAAACCCAGTTGGCGTTGCTGTAAATCGTAATTGAGTCGATGGCAGTGGGTTTGGGTAAGGTTTTTATCAATATTTTATTTTGCTCTTTGAAGAGCACAGTAACTTCTAAGTACTTTGCCACCTGAACTGGCTTGTAATTCATTCATCAGAAATTCATTCTTCAGTATTCTTTGAGGCAGAATATCTACTGTTTCAGAGGTGGTGACTTACAGGTGGCTTGGAGTGCAGGAAATGCACAAGCTTTGGATTTAGCAGACCTAGGATTCAAATTCCATTTTTGCCACCTACTGGCTACAAGGAGTTAGGCATTCTAATTAAGCACTGTAAGTAGCTCTCGTGGTATAGGGGTTAAAGCATTTGGCTGCTAACCAAAAGGTTGATGGTTTGAACCTACTAGCTGCTCTGTGGAAGAAAGATGAGGTAATATGCTTCCATAAAGATTTACAGCCTTAGAAACCCAGTGGGGTCATAATGAGTTGGAAATAACTTGATTTTTTTTTCCTCTGTAAGTGGGGATATGATACCTTCTTCATAGGATTGTTTCAAGATTAAGTGAGATAATGTATGAGAAGTGCTTGAGCATAGTATCTGATGCGTAGTAAGCACTCAAAAGATAGTTCTTTCTCTGAAAGTTGTGGGAGATAACTGAAAAATCCTGAGCCTTGGGTGCTCCTTTGTCCCTAATAGTATGGTTTTCAAGAAGTCTTTCTCTCTGTCTGTTTGTTTTACTTATGAGTTCTCTTACTATAGTAAGATATGAGTAGGAACATCTGTTAATAGAACTCTTAACCAACCGTTTAACCAGATAAAGAATGCAAATTGAATGTTTTTAATGTTACATAACCCCTTTGTTTATTAGTAAATAATACTGTTGTAAACTTAAATCCAGGTTTGTCAATACCCAGATGGAGGCATATTATACACACGCACACACGCACACACACACACACATCTCCAGCATTTACAATCAACTATTCAAAGGTTTGATTCAATTGAGTACAGCAATTATTACCCATCCACAGGCTAAAAATAGTAGATAAGCTTGCACATCAGTTACCCAGTAGATTATTTTTAATGCCTTTGATAAGTGTTCTGTATGTGATTTCACTTTTATGCTCTATCCTTAAATTGGGAGCTCCGGTAGCATAGTGCCTAAGGCACTTGACTGCTAACCAGAAGGCTGGCGGTTCAAACTCACCAGCCACTCCTTGGAAGGAAGATGGGGCAATCTACTTCTGTAGTGATACTGCCTCGGAAACCCAAGGAGGGGTCGTTATGAGTCGGGTCCAACTGGATGGAACTTAACAACAACAACATCCTTAAATTATCTCAGATCAAAATCAACTAAACGGGTTAGGAACAGCTATTTAAATATTAGAACATATTTTCTTGGAAGTACTGATAAAAGCATAATAATTTTGAGTGGAACTCTATTTTCACTTGATTGTAAATTCAGAAGGACCTCTGATGGCATACTGGCTAAAGCATTCAGCTGCTAAAGAAAAAGTCAGTGATTGGAACCCACCAACTGCTCTACAGGAGAAAGATGATGCAATACGCTTTGTAAAGATTTTCAGCCTTGGAAACCCTGTGGGACAATTCTGCTCTGTCCTTTAGGTTGCTATGAGTAGAGATTGACTCGATGGCAGTAAGTTTGGTTTTTTGGTTATATATTCAGATGAGCCCTGCTGGTGCAGTGGTTAGAGTGCTGGGCAACTAGCCTAAAGATTGTGGTTTGAACTTACGACGTGCTCCATAGGAGCCCTGGATCTACAGCCTTGGAAACTCTATGGGCAGGTCTACTCTGTCCTGTAGGGTCACTATGAGTCATAATCGACTTGAAGGCGATGGGTTTGGGTTTTTCATATATTTAGCTAACTGTATATTTCACAGTGGTGAAGTGCAGTGGTTAAGCCATTCTGCTGCTAACCAAGAGGTTGACAGTTTGACAAATTACCAGCTGCTCCATAGGAGAATGAGGGGCAGCCTGCAAACTACCAGCTGCTCCATAGGAGAATGAGGGGCAGCCTGCTTCTGTAAAGATTTACAGCCTTGAAAACTCTGTGGGGGCAGGATTACTCTGTCCTGTAGGGTCGTTTTGAATCAGGATTGACTCAGTGGCAGTGGATTTGGTTTGGATGGAAGACTGTGCAATCTGTTTCCGTAAAGATTCGCCACCTCAGAAACCCAAAAGGGATTGTTATAAGTTGGAATTGACTTGATGGCAGTGAGTTAGGTAGTAGTTAGTTACATTTTCCTCAGGGACTATAGGGGCTCGTACTCATAGGTTCTATCAGATAGCAGTCAAATGTATAAAAATTGTGATTTTTCCTTCAAAAAAAGATCATTCTTTCTTGATGTCATCATTTACTCTTTACAACTTGACATTTCATTTTTAAAAATTACAACACATTTTTTAAAGCTATAAACCCTATGGGGCCATTGTATTCAGTCCTTTAGGATTACTGTTTTGCATTCATAACTGAATATATTGGAGTGGGACAGAGTAAAAATTAATCCTGTGAGTAGAGTTTTTTGGGATGATGCGTAAGGGCAAGAATTTTAGAAAGCAGTAAATAATACTTTGTGTACCTTTTTCCTGTTTTTTTACATAGGTTTTTATCCAGCTTCAAGTAAAGCATATGTATTACATTATTATTAATAAAATATACTTGATTTGGTTTACCAAACTTTTAAAATATTCTTCACCAGGAGGTTCAGCAACATCAGATGACCATGAATTTGATCCATCAGCTGACATGCTGGTTCATGATTTTGATGATGAACGAACATTAGAAGAGGAAGAAATGATGGAAGGAGAAACAAACTTCAGTTCTGAAATAGAGGATCTTGCAAGGGTAAATAACATTAAGAGCTAGAGGGTGAAAAGGTTAGATAGCTTTTTTGTGTGGAGAGAGGAAGTACATGGTTCTCTACTTGTGTTATTTTGGGGGAGGTGGGAAAAATCTATGGGTTTATATGAGATAATTAAAGTTTGAAATGAAGGATTTTTTTTTTAATTACCTTTATTATGTGAAATAATAAGATTTAATAGTGAATTTGGTAAAACATCTCAAATCTGGGTCAAAATTTTCCTGTCACATCTTCTGTCGTCCTCTAGTTTTATAATTTTATTTACTCCCCTTCAGAGCAAAAATTTCTTGAGTTGCCATCATCTTTCTCACTTTTCATTTATTCCATAAACCACTCTTGATTGTCTCCATCCCTCCTATCAAGATGATCTGTGACTTCTATTGCTGCATCCATTGGTCACTTCTCTCTCTCTCTCCCTCTCCCTCTCTCGCTCTCTCTCTCTCTCTAATTTGTTCTCCCTGGTATTTGACACAGTACACCACTCCTTGTTCTTGAGTTCTGGAGTACCCCATTGTCTAATTTTCCCTGCCTCTTTGACCTGGTCATTATCCTCTTTAAATTTCTCTTCCTTTATCCAAGGTCTAAATGTTGGGATTTCCTGGTCCTCAGTTCTGAACCTTCTTCTCTCCTTTCTTTCACTAGGTCACTGCTTCTCAGAATTTAGTATGAGTATCAACTGCATCAGAATCACACCTTGTTAAGAAATGTGGATTCTCAGACATACTGAATCAGAATCTCTAGGGGTAGGGCTGAAATCTATATTTCCATTAAGCAAGTTTGAGCTGTATGCACACCTGCTTTGAAAATTACCAAGTTAAGTTATCTAATCGATTCCTATAGTGTCTTTATGCTCAGTATTACTTAGTTTATGTTTATAATAACTGTTCCTTATCTCAGATCTTGCTTATCTATTTACAACTTGACATCTCTCATTTTAAATGTTCAAAACAGAACTATTGATTATTGTTGTTCTCCTTCCTCTACCTATTCCTTTTCTTGTCTTCCCAGTCTTAGTAAAAAATGGTGCTGTTATCCACCCTGTTTCCTAAGTCAAAAACCAGGGAGTTAACTTCTTCCATTCCTAATAGGTAGTTCCTAAATACACTTATTTCTACCCCCAAAATATTTCCTACTGACTTTTGTTCCATCTTTGCTGCCGCTACTCTTACCCAGATCACAGTCATTTCTAGAGTAGACTATTGTAACTTCTTAACTTTTCCTCTATTTCCTGTTTTGCCACTCCTCCCCACAACATCTTTTGGATCCAGCAGCCATGGTGATCTTTTCAAAATATAAATTGTTTTATGGTTTGTCAGTCTTCTACTTAAAACTCTCCAGTGGCTTTCCATTACTAGAAGAAAATTTAGACTCCTTACCCTGGGCAGCCAAGCCACTTGTATGATATGGCCCCTCATCGATTTATCACTACCCCTGGCATCATAATCATTGTCTGATTCAAAATGGTTGAAACCAGTCTATTTCAGCTCACTAATGTGTAAGACATTGATCTTTATGTGTTCCATTTCATTTTTGACAACTTCTAATTTTCCTAGGTTTGTACTTTGTACATTCTGTGTTCTGATTATTAATGGATGTTTGCAGCTGTTTTTTTTTTTTTTCCCATTTTGAGTCATGCCACATCAGCAAATGGAGGTCTTGAGCATTGTTAAGGTTGGTTCTATTCTAGAGGCCTTCCCCAATCGTATTTTGAGTGCCTTCTGACCTGAGGGGATCGTAACAAATTATGGATAACAATGAGAAGAATGGGAATTCCGGAACACTTAATTGTGCTCATGAGGAACCGGTATATAGACCAGGGGAGGCTGTCGTTAGAACAGGGGCTACTGCCTGGTTTAAAATCAGGAAAGGAGTGCATTAGAGTTGTATCCTTTCACCATACTTAATCAGCCTGTATGCCAAGCAAATAATCTGAGAAGCTGGACTATATGAAGAAGAGTGTGGTGTCAGGATTCGAGGAAGACTCATTAACAGCCTGTGATGTGCAGACAATACAGCTTTGCTTGCTGAAAGTAAGGATGACTTGAAGCACTTACTGATAAAGATTAAAGACTACAGTCTGCATTATGGATTACATATCAACATAAAATGAAAATTCTCACAACTGGACCTATAAGTAGCATCACACTAAATGGAGAAAAGATTAAAGTTGTCAAAGATTTCATATTACTTGGTTCCACAATCAACACCAGTGGAACCAGCAGTCAAGAAATTAGATGATGTCTTGCACTGGGCATATCTGCTGCAAAAGACCTCTTTAAAGTGCTGAAGAGCAAAGATGTCTCTTTGAAGACTGAAGGTGTGTGTGCCTAACCCACGCCATGGTATTTTCAGTTGCCTCATATGCATACAAATAAGGAAGACCGAAGAAGAGTTGATGCTTTTGAGTTGTGATGTTGTCAAAGAATACTGAAAGTACCATGGACTGCCAGAAGAACTAACAAATCTGTCGTGGAAGAAGTGCAGTTGGAATGCTCCTTGGAAGCGAGAATGGCAAGGCTTTGTGTGACCTACTTTGGTCATGTCCGAAAGAACCATTTCCTGGAGAAAAATGCCATGATTGGTAAAGTGGAGGGTCAATGAAGAAGGGGAAGGACCTCAATCCATCTCAACAAGATGGATCGACACACTGGCTATAACGATGGGCTCAGGTATAGCAAGGATTGTGAGGCTGGCATAGGACTGGGCAGTGTTTTGTTCTGTTGTACATAGGGTTGCTATGAGTTGGAGCTGACTCAGTGACACCTAACAGTATCAACCACCACCACTGGCATGCTGTGCTATAGCTACACTAGCTTCTTATATTCTTAGATAAGCCACTTTCTTCCTGCTTCATGGTTTTTCAGCTCTTTCCCCTCTCTGGTGTGTGCTTTCTGAGGCTGATTGCTTTATCCTTTTAAATCTGGGCTTAGTGTTGTTTCCTCAGAATGTAGTTCATTAACAACCTGTGATATGCAGATGACATAGCTTTGCTTGTTGAAAGTGAGAGTGACGTGAAGTACTTACTGATGAAGATTAAAGGCTTCAGTCTGCAGTATGGATTATACCTCAATCAAAAATTCTCACAACTGGTCTAAAAACAGCTTCACAATAAATGGAGAAAAGATTGACGTTGTCGAGGACTTCATCTTACCTGATCAAGTGAAGAGCAAAGGGGTCTCCTTGAAGACTAAGGTGTGCCTAACCCGAGCCATGGAAGCCCTGGTATTTTCAATCACTTCTTCTGCACGTGAGAGCTGGACAATGAATAACGAAGACTGAAGAAGAGTTGATGCTTTTGAGTTGTGGTGTTGGGGAATAATGCTGAGAGTACCATAGTCTGTTAAAAGGACTGACAAATCTGCCCTGGAAGAAGTGCAGCCAGAATGCTTCTTGGAAGCGAGAATGGCTAGACTTAAGTCTCACCTACTTTGATCATGTTGTCAGAAGGATATCATACTTGGTAAAGTGGAGAGTCAGTGAAGAAGGGGAAGACCCTCAATGAGATGGATTGACACAGTGGCTGCATCAGTGGACTCAGGTATAGCAAGGCTTGTGAGTCTGGCACAGGACCACACTGTTTCATTCTACTGTGCATGGGGTTGCTATGAGTTGGAGATGACTCAATGGCACCTAACAACAACAAGTAGCTCATTATTATTATTTTATCATTATACACTCTTTAATACTTTCTTTATACCTAAATAATTTATAATTATGTGTTTGTTTAATTGATTGTGTATATCTTCCATTAGGTAAGTTCTGTGAAGAGAGGGACCCTGTATTTTATTTACCAGTATTTCATGGTGTCTAGCAAAGTGGTCATTCAAAAAGAGTTATTGAATGAATGAATAGATGGATAAATGAATCTGGCATGCGGTGATTAGTAAAATTTTTATCATGCATATGATCTGCTCTACTCCATTATAAAAAACCTAAGGAAAAGTAAGGCATAGTACCAGCCTTGAAGCATTCAGAATATATAATACAGAAAAATGAATGCTTATAATTTTTTAGTAATAAAGTATAATTTATATTTTAGAATTTTAATTTGGAACTTTTAAAGTATATATTAAAAAACTTGAGATTAAATCCTATTGATACTTAGTCAAATCTTATGAGAACACTCCATTTTAGATCATTTAGTCAAGTCAAGTCAAGTCAAGCTAGCTTAATCCACAATGCTTAAGTAATTCAGTATTGTCTTGTTTCTGAATAACCCATCCATGGGATAAATGTTAAAGGAGGAATATCTTATATTTTCCCATATTATCACGGTTCACATTACTTAAGTATTAATTTAGTAAGTGGAGTGCTGTTTATTACTAGCTAGAATGCTTATTGTTTCGTTCTCTTTCAGAATAAAGGCTACCATTAGTTAGTACAGGAGCTCTGGTAGCATGGTGCCTAAGGCATTTGACTGCTAACCAGAAGGCTGGTGGTTAAAACCCACCAGCCACTCCTCAGAGGGAAGGTTGGGCAATCTACTGTAGTGATACTGCCTTGGAAACCCAAGGAGGGGATGACAGTAAGGGTTTTTTTTTTTTTTTGGTTTTAGTTAGTACAAAATTTCTAGTGGACTTTACTAAAATCTTGGCCATGTCATTTTGTTTTCCTTCTGTTTCTTTCCACTCCCTACCCTAGTCCCTTACAGCCCCCCAAAATTTACTTTCAGATGACCTTCCCTTAGGAAAACGTATTTGAAAACAATTATTTACAGAGGATACAGAAAGTTGGAAAACATAGAACCAATTCTTTATCATTTTCAACTTGGCAGTCTTAATACCTTCTCTTACTTCCCCCAGAAATAGCTAAAGTCCAAAAACATGTAAGTGGTACGTATCACCAGTGTTTTCATTGATAACCTAAAACTAAACTAACCCAGGGCCAGTATGTTGAATTTTCTGTAGTTATAAACTCTTTAGGTATAAACCAAATCATACTCTTCCCCCCAATCCCCGATTATTTAAAAAGTGAACAGATTTTG